AGCTTTGCGCGAAATTCAAAACAAACAAATAATGTTCATGAAAAGTCTTCACAAAGTCGTGCTACATCGGCTCAGGACCATTCCATTTTGGCTTTGGTTTGCACTGAATTGTTTTCAACACGTTCATGACATCTTGGACATTCTGTACACTTAATAGAAACAACAATAAGTGTTCTTCGGCTATTTCTTATGATTTTCTTTGGTTGGGGGTCCAATCAACCATATCAAAGTCTGCCAGTCACTGAACGATCTAACACAATGGGACGAACCAAGTATTTTATTATTAATATTCCTTCTGCTTCTCACTTTTCTTGTCCTCTTTTGATTGGATTCTGACGGTTTTTTTGGACAACTTCTCTTTTTGATCGCTTTAGCTTCAACATCGTGGTTACATCCACAATGTTTGCATTTCATAAAAACGCCAACCTTCTAACTTTGCTCTTGCAACTGAAATTAGGGTAAACATAACTTTCGGACATTCTCCTAGTGTAAATTTACAGAACACACGTAAATTACTTTGCCAAAGGCGCTGGACTTTCACCAAAATCTTGATACAAACGGAGGTGAGAACTCATTTTCAAATGAAGATTTCTCAGCAAGAGATTAAGCTTAGTGACGAATACAAAATGTATTTTGTTCGAAAGCTCTAATACTAAAATATTATGTATGATCGACTCCCGATTTCAGGGTTACAGTAGCTTGTTTATTCGTTATTAACGTTATTATTCGTTATTAACAATGGGTTATTTGTACTGTGCCCTCCACGGGTATCGAAACCCGGTTTTGAGCGTTATAAGCCTTCAGACTTATCGCTGAGCCACTAGGGGGCTAGTTACAGTATTAACTATATTTTGCTTTAAAACGCAACACATCTGAAAGCTATTTCGTTAAACCAGTACTAATTTCGTAATAGCTCTCACTATTGTCAACAACATGACTTAGTTTACAAGATGGAATTTCATGACTAAATCAGTATATAATTACATTATAGCCTCCTTTTTTATTTTATGTTTTATCGTAATAAAGGGGACCTAATACAGGTATTTGTTTTTAATTTGTGATGTATTAGTCTTTCATCTACATCCGAAAAGAACTACATTTTGTTGATAAAAATAATATTGTTTTAATTCAAGTTGTTTCCTTTAGAGGGCTCTGTTCTTGTCATTCAAGTAACTTACATTACTACGTTCACTTTTACTTCCATTTGATACAGAAACTTACCATACACACGTTACCTCGTCCAGTGAAAACTTGCCTAAATAAGAAGTTGATTATTAACTTTACCCAAGTGCTTTCTTATCGCTTTCTACTACAGGTAAGTGAGCAGTTAGTCTACGGACTTACAACGCAAAAATCTCAGGGTTCGATTCCCCGCGCTATATATAATATAAGGCTCACGTAACTCATTGCGTAACAACATCTAATCTAGAATTATAAGAAGCAAACATGTTTGAATCCAGTTGCTTCGGTATCTGCTGTGTCAATCGCAGGGAATCTAACCCCGGATTTTATTGGGTTTATTGTTTATTTGTAATTAAGCACAAAGCTACACAATGGGCCATCTGTGCTCTGCCCACCACGGGTATCGAAACCCGGATTCTAGCGTTGTGCTACTGGGGGGGGACATGGGTTTATTGAGAGCTTTATTAGGTTCAGTGATAATTTTGAATTATGAGTTTACTTCATTAAAAAAAACCAGCTAGTTTTAAATATCGAAGGGATTTAAACTGCTTTTAGATTTTAGATTTTTTGACGTAATTACGTAACGAAAAGTAAGTTATTTCTGTTTAAATTCAAATTTAGAATTTTTTAAAAACTAATATAGAATAAAATTGTACCAAAAGCAATTTTAAAAAAAATACTATTATCATAAAATTGGATTAATAGCATTTCTTCTTTCTGGAAAGTTTCAACAAGAATTGAATTACAGTCTAGTGATCATTATTTTTATTAACTACTATAAAAGAACAAACAAAGACGTCATCACTGTTTTCAAGTTCAATGCAAATGTCGGGTATAAAAAGAGAAGTTAATTTCCATAAGAGCATAGCGTTATTTTCTATGTGAAAGCAATACGTCTTACAACGCTTGGAGACGGCTTGAATGGGTAATGAAGAAAAAACTTATATTAAAGATTTTCTTCATTACCCATTCAAGCCGTTTCCAAGCATTATTAGTCTCAAAATGGGTTCCTCGTCATCGAATTTGAATACGTCTTACATTACTCGTCAGTGGTAAGTTTGCGGACTTAAAAGGCAAAAATTCGGGGTTCGAATTCCCGCGGTAGACAGAGCGTTAAACGACACATTGTGTAGCTTTTACGCTAAATTTGATATCAGTAACTTGTGATATTTTTACTTTTGAAGATGTCTGTCAGGAATTATAAATTTTATACGATGTTTTTCCCTTTTTTCAATATTTTTTCCTCTACGGAAATGTGTGAGTTAAATATACTAATTGCAACACTATAATGTTATGTGTGTATTTCTTTTCTTACTAAAATTCGGGATTATAATAATTTACATTTTAATTAAAATAAGGCTTTATCGTTTGATATATTACACAACCATATTTAATAAGAAAGAGTTTTGAAACACTCAGCTTCAAGAAGTTTAAGCCGTTATAGAATAAGCTTCAAATACAAAATAAGAACCAATCAGCACGCTTTATTCGATCACCATGCTGCATAAGAACCAATCAGCATGCTTTATTCGATCATTGTGGTGTTGAGATAGTGTCTGTTTGTTGTCCCATCCCTCCTATTAATATTGTATGAAAAAGTTCTATCTTCTTTATACCTAGTTGCTCCAGGTTGAAAGGTCATGCACCAACTTATGTCTAGTTCAAACTTTTGTTATACGTCAGATGCAGTCAAAGAATGCTCAATAGGTTGTTTCTCGGAACCGAGCACAAAATGGTCACAAACGTTTTTGCTTTGCGTTCCTTGCCTCGACGTCATAACCTCTACAATCATATCAGTGGTCCTCCAATGTTTATCGTAATCGTTAGGCCTGTAAACCATAAACAAATGTATGAATACACACAGGCCTTCTCAGAGGATTATTTTTTCAGGCCCCTGACTAAAATAAAATAAAAATGATACCACGTGAAAGTAAAATAGGACAATCAATAGCCCAAAATAAAAGTGAAACACAATTTGAATATTCAATTTGTATATATATAACTTGCAGCTCTAAGCTGAGAGCGTGTGTTACATTTTGGTCTGATTGAGAGGCACATAAAATCAAGTCGCGAAACTTGAGGCCCCCTTTGAACTTGGGGCCCGGGCCAAATGGCTCTCATGCCTCACCCCCTTTAATTGGCCCTATATACATATATATTCGTATTTTGCCTAATTTTAACACTGGTTTCATAAAAAATTTCCACGAGCGTGACGAAGGGGGACACAAATATCCCTGAACTCCTCAGTTGAGGAAAGTTTCTTTCCTGTTAAATGTCCCCCAGTGGCACAGCGGCATGTCTTCGGACTTATACCGCTAGAAACCGGTTTCGATATCGATGTGTAGCTTTGCGCTTAACTACAAACAAACAAATATTTTTAAAACTAAAAACCTGCCACTGGACGTTATCAGGTTGCACGTGCAAGAGACTTTCGAAAAGAGAAGCAGGTCGCAAGAACCCGGATGACGTAATTCCAACTTGTTTGTTTGTTTGTTTCACCTCTCTGCACTCTGTCCACCACAGGGAATCGAATCCCAGCTTTTAGCGTTATAAGTCCGTAAACTTACCGTTGACCCACTAGGGGGGGGGGGGTACACACAGTTTCGGAGACCAGACGTTATATCGGAGTTTGAAGTCAGATCTAGGCCTCAGACAAGAATAAAGATAAAGAAGAATGCTACTATACCTGCTATATGCAGTGCCGAAGAGGCTTTTCGTACAACACCAGGGCTCATCAATTCAGTGAGGATACAATAGACACAGCAGTGGTCAAGACGTCTTCTATGTCATCTGTTGTTTAAATAACAACCATTTCTGTATAAACTAGTTTATCTTATCTTCGCCACCAAAGGTAGACGGAGGTTATGTTTTCACCCCTGTGTGTGTTTGTCAACAAAGCTTCTCGAAAACGGCTGAATGGATTTGGACGAAAGTTGGTATACATTTGGACTATGATCCAACTTTGAAGTTTTTAGTTTTTGGAGGGTCAAGGTCGAAGCAAGGGTCGCGAAAATCCAAAAAAAACCCAATCTGTTAACATGGGGACCGATTTTTCACACTATTTTTGCTTTATAACTCAGTTAAAAATGATTGGGTTTTGATGAAACTCGGTGGACATATGTGGAATATAATTCGTTGCT